CACCAAACATTTAAAAAATCCGGTCTTAGAAACCGAGTTATTTTGCAGTCGTACTGCAATAAATTATTGAATGAAACTTCTCGAAATGGAACAATATCAATATTTACATTATTTTTCAGGGAAAATATTGAATGGTCGACTTTCCCACGTAAACACGTTGTCTCAAAGCTGAGATCTAAATGTCTGAAACCTACTTTCGAATACACTTCACTTCGATGTTGATCCTGTGACGTTAATCCAACGTTACGGTCCCCTGCATGCTCGAGTATCGTCCTCAACATCTTTTTCTGTATCCCCTGCCTTCTATACTCAGGTTTAGTTATAGATAGCCCGAAAAAAGCAAAATCACTGGAGTGGATAAGACTATATCCAGCACCTAAAAAGTTCAAAAAAGAGTCATTGTTTGGTTGACGGCAATAAGACAATCAATAACTTCTGAGTAGAATGAGCTGCTCATTTAATATAGACGTCTGGAAGGTGATACCACATTTGCATATTCTCAAAATCATACACACATTAACACAACGTCTACAGAGGGGGTGAAGTAATTAATTCTTTTTTAAGGTTCATGTAAATAAATGTCTCTTTTAGTTTTAACATTATAGTTTATTCTGCGGTCATGTGTATATTTCGGGGACATGGGTGCACCTGAAACGGTAACAGAATGCTGAACAACTGAATTGATCTTCCAATCAAATACATATAATGCTTTCTGTCAACACATTTAAATTACGAAATTTAACTTGCCATAATTTATGCACAAACCAAATAGAATATATGATATATGTCGTTAAATTATATATTGCATGACGAGAATGTTTGAGAAACAAAACGTTATATCGGTCTGGATATATGACTAGTCAACAATACATTACTGGGTTAGCAGTTTTCTAGTCACGCTCGATAGGGGTAGGTAAATGGTAACCTTGGCCAATCAGATATACAGAGGACAATTTCCCTTTAAACAGATAATGTCTCACACATGGGGGTGGATAGAGTCAGCTGCTATTTAAGTCAATAAGTTCTATAAAACAACTTTCATGAAAAACTTCACACTCGATTTACAATGGTCAACTTTTAATCATTCTGTTTCAAGAAAAAAATCTGTTTGCAAATAGGAATCTAATATTGTGAGTTTTGCAAAATGATGCGTACCGAACTTTTTGAATCACGATATGATAAGTTATATACTTACCAATTATTACACCTTTTTCTTTTTCAGCTACGTAAAATCCTGTTGGATTTGCCTGACGCAGAGATTCTAGATACTCTACTGAAAAGTCCCAATGTTCATCAATGGTTAGATCACTAACTTGCTGCATGTCTTCGTGCCTGGCGCATCTTATAAGAACATGTGAACTGAACAAAGTGACACAATTGAGTTTTTGATGTAATATATTGAGATCGTATTATATATGAGTGTTGGTGTGTGTTCACGAATATGATGAATTATAGCTGAGATGTACGTATTTAGGCTGATACCCGATCAGAATATATAAAAAAAAACGAGTTGATTGTTGGTGTATGGAATAAAAAGTGATCAAGTTGTAAAACGTCTTATGTTATAAGCAACTATAATTAATTACGCCGTATACCCACAACTTGTAACTTTGAGCGCTATAGTCACGCTTTACCTATATTTAGTGACATGTTCACTCTAAAGCAACTTTGACTGATTAATTAGTTGTACGTTGACCTTTTGGCGTTATTCACTATATACTTGGAGACATTCGTATTATGACAAAATGCAAGTTGAATAATCATTGCGCTGTATGAAAGTATATGCTAGTGGGTATTTTGTTTAGGGGGTGTTTTGTTAGCGTTTTCGTACAGTCCTTCACTATCAGTTACTGCCATTCAGTATTATTACCATGCCATCTTCCTATCCATTGATTAATTCCGATTACTCAAGTACTAGTGGTGGTTCAGGGGGATCTGCAACATAGAAATGCTATATTTTAGTATTTGGTCTATCTACCAAAGAAACAAACAAAAAATCATCGTTCTTTGTGATAATGACACGCTACCATAGCAGGTAATTATTATGCCGCGCTTGTGTTGAAGTCAAATATTTTCAATG